ATTTAGTGCAATTGCTCGGTGCTGTGGGGTGCAGCGGTACCTTGAGAAATTTGGTGCAATTGCCCGGTGCAGCGAACGATGGTACAGCTGCACCTCTTGGCGGTGCAACCAGGTGCTGCCAAGGCCATATTTTGCCAAGATATTACCCCATTCGGCTTAATACGGCCGATCTGGTAACCAATAATGCCGTAATTTACATAAATTACATATATAAGTCACGGGATAAGCCGAATTAGGCAATGTTTGTATTGTTTACAGTGCAGCTGCACTGCAGCCAAAGTACAGTCAGTGGACATAAATAATTACTCCCCCTATGGCCCCACCAGCTCACCGCCACTATAGATTTATTACCGCCTACCTAAAACGCGTAGTATAGTACCACACTGAGATAGTACGTGACGCAAGTCTGGGATGGAGCAACTCTCTAAGACGATGCCGCAACGGGTGGAAACTATTATTGAGAGCCAGGAGTGGTATACACCATACTAGATTTCATAGTATGAATTCATGGAGGTTTTTGACAGGCAATGTTATATAATCAGGGGGTGTGGGGCCAAGGGGAGTAATTATTTATGTCCAGTCACTATACCGCTGCACCGAACCTCGCCCTTAGTGCAGTCGGCCCCACGTACAACTGCACCGAACTAAGGCCTTGGTGCAGCCACTGCACCAGTACCGCTGCACCGGTACCGCTGCACTTGTCAAGGCCTAGATAGGATCATAATAAAAATGTTCTGGCTTTCGAGCTTATAGTAGAGCATTACGTGCGATGAGTCGGTCGGCTGATCTTTAAAGTAGATCTTAAATCTCTTTCGACTTAAAGCTAAGTCGCCGGCCTAATTTAGCTATATCAAAAAGGACACGCTCATTAAGCTCCCCGCGGACCCGTTTAACCAAGAGCTCGTCCTCACTTCTTATAGGTGGGGGCATCGATTTGTAGTGACGTATCGTGTATAGCTAAAGCTGCCGATATCCTAAATCCAGTCTATCGGTATCGCTAGCAGCCTGTCGCCGAAACGAGAACTCCGATATCTGTATCTAGGCCTTATGGCTCTCTGAAATAGCCACAAACTTTTCCTTCGCTATATTCCATATAGACCAGTCTGCAGCACCAAAAATCCGCTTTATGCATTGTGCGTATTATTCAAAAAAATAAAGTCTTTTGAGAAAGTGTATAGGGATAGAGTTGTCCTATAGAACTCTTTGTTCCTTTTCCAAATCGCCTTAAGTTCGGACTCGCTAAAAGAAGAGAAGATTTGCCCACTAAGCATAAGTCCCATTAATTCTTTTGCGTCCTGCTCACAGTTCCCAGGGGCTTTCAATTGCAATTTCGTAACTGTCTCGGTTTGAATTCGCCGAAGTACACGCCGATTGCTGCCGACAAAAAAATATGAGTGTCATAAACATGATCGAGATAGGTCAGTATTTCCTAACAAAAGATTTATGTTAGATTTAAGGTCTGTTGTTCTGGAAGAGAAAGGCGAAGAAAGGCTCACCTCAATTGACGCGTGGCCAATGACCTATACGTATAATTGGTCTTTTAGAAATGACACGTATGGATGAGAAGGAACGTCTGTAGAAAGGAATCATATTGGAGTTATGCAGACATCGGGTTCATAATTTTTTTCAGGCCCACAGTGACCGTTCATTTCCTAGCCTCAGATACTTTTCATCACATTTTGCTTAGAGCGCTTCAAATTTATTACCTCATCGCCCACCAACTACCTCATTAACCACCTACAGCAACACCATGGCCGAAAAGCTTCTCCCATTTCATGAACATTGCCGCAACAAACATAACGGCTCCAGCAACGGGAACTAGCACAAACGTCATCCGCATTGCCTGCGAGATGGCATCAATTGCTCGATCCCATAGTGTACCCTCCAGCTCCTCAAACAATGTACTCTGCGCACCGGCCACCGCGCTCCAAATTTCTGAGTAAGAGTATCCGTGGCCAGCAAGAGTAGAACGCAGATTTTCAATGGCCCGCGATCGGTAGATCTGTCCTGCGACAGCAAGTGCAATAACTTGGCCACCAATCTGGGCAACATTTTGCATTTTCAGCCCGGCGCCTGTGTCTTCAGGCTTGGTCGTCAAGGTAGGAGGACACGGCAAAGGCGCCACCGATCAGAGGCCCCAAAACACACCCAAGGCCCCAGAAGACGGCTATGAGAGCCATATAGAGAGCACGATCCTTCTCCACTGTCATGACAGCAAAGTATTGTAGTGATCCAAGGTAGATACCGCTTCCACCAGCACCAGCAATGACACGGCCAACAATCAGAGAGCGTTCATATTTGGTGCAGCACCACAAAGAGCCGAGCCCGCCTCAAAAAGCACCACGGTTGCAATGTAGACCCATTTCATGTTGAAGGTGTTGAAAAGGGTGCCGAGTAAGAGAATGACACATACTGAGCCCAATGGGAAACCGGCTCCGATCCAGGAGAATTGGTCGACATGGCCGAATGCCCCGATAACAGGGCCTTGGACATCGGCAGCGACCGTGGTATCCAGTCCGTAGAGAAAGCAAGTGATGTAAAGTGAAACGCAGATCACGACCCAGTTGATGCCACAGATCTCTCGTTCCTTCGTCTCCGATTCCTCAATACACCCATCTTTGGGGAGCTCCCGCCTGCCCAGTTCAGGCTCATTAGATGCCATCTAGACAAATTGGGCTAAGAGTGTTCGAGTTAACTCAATTATTTAGGAGAAGTGGGAGGCTCAAAGGAGTATGGGGAAGGGGGTCGAAAGTCTCTGGACATTGAGTGCAATTAGGCATTTCTGCGTCCCTGAGACGGTCGTCTTTCCATGTCGTGGGCGATCCTTCGGAGACATTGGGTGCCTCTTTGTCGACCATCCATTACCAATTTATCCGAGAGGGAGAGGCATGTCTCCGAAGGTAGACTATGTAGACTATGTTTAATCGACCAGAAGATTAATAGTATTTATAAGTAAGACACGTGCCCCTTGTCACTTTCTTTCCTTGTTAGAGTACTGATCACCCAGCTGCGTGTACAGTCATGTTTCATTAATATTTAAACCCCGGTACTTCGCTAGGCTCGAGACCCACC